TCATTGCCTTTATCCTCACAACCTTTACATCTAATTCAAGGGTGATACTCACTCTTGAGGGTAAAAGAGTTAAAAAGTGTTTGACTGTATATTTGGGGTTAGTCATTTACATGATCATCATCATTTTTCGCAGTCAATATAATTTCAAAAAGTAGCTGCCATCTTCTCCAACATCACTCCTTGCTTGAGAGGTCAAGTTCATCCCTGAACTCATCAAATTCATCCAATGACATTTTAGCAACTTTTTCTGCAAACCTTTTGTCGGAAGGAGTCACAATAAGACCAAGCCCATAATCATCGATTATTGTCTCATCTTTTATGAGTCCCAGATGCTTTAGATACAAATGCCTTTCTTTAATTCTTTTAAGGGAGCACTGAAACACCCTGGGACAACGTGCTATGCCTGTTGGACTTACATTGATCTTCTCAAAACAATAATTCCACTTTTCTTTGAGTGCATCATTGCTGAATGTCAAAACAGATGGCTGTTTGAGAATGATATTTTTGATGTGATGTTTATTAAATTTCAGTTCTTCTTCCAAGAACTGGACCTTCTTTTGCAATGACTCCACCGTGTAAGCAGCAATGATTGTTGGACATTTTGTCAACACATGGAGTATTTCATCTTTGGTAAACTTTGGTTTTACATTCAATTCTTCAAAACATTTGATCTGTGCAAGAAAAAAGTAACACCAAAAACAAAAGAGCCATGAAATGATGTTTAAATGAAGCATCATCTTCTAAAAATGGGTCATTGGGAATTCAGAGTCAGATAGAGTCAATAATAGAGCTGGTCAGTCTGTCAGTCAGCCAGACAATATGTCAGACAGTCTGTCAGTCTGTCAGACAGTCTGTCAGTCTGTCAGTCAGTCAATCCGTTGATCAGTATTTGTCAATCATGAGTATGAGTACAGACAGAATTGGATGACACAAAGTCCTATTGCCAATTAATCGTAACCATTACCAAAAAAAAACCATAACCGTTTCCGAAAACAACAAATACATCTAGGACTAATCTCTCTGGTACAGAGTCAAAGTAAAAAAATTCCTAAATTTTGGAAATTTCATAGTTTTATTTTAAGGATAAGTGGTGATTGTTGCTACTGTCCGATCACACAATCCGATAACAACTGTATAGAATGATTGGTGAAAAATAATGCAGCTAATGCACCAATTGCATTTGAGGAAATTGCTATGGGTTCTGATTAATCTCTTAGTCAGCCCTACCTTGTCAGGTAAAGATTCCTCGATCCTTGCCGTTAGCACCCCTGGCGATTCCTTAACGACGTAAGCAACAGATTCGGGAAAGATTCCAACAATTCTCATGATCTTCACACGATGTCTCAGCAGATCATCCTTGGTTGTCAAAATAGTGGGTCTATTCGAG